TCTAGCCCGACGTACCAAACATTTAACTAGATTTCGTTTATATTGCAAGGGGACGAAACTCAAGAAGTGGGTGTATTGACCTGTTGAGTTCCATCCACCTTCCTTGTCAATCGGACATCTAAGAAGGTGATGCTGTCGTCACTTTCTATCTCAATGGTGCACATTATCGCTGGATGGACGCTACTGAATTCATCCAGTATGATCGTTGCATCGTCATCGTTATTCACAATAAAGAATGTATCATATACATAACGGCAGTAAAATTCTAACCCGCTTACGATACTTTCCAGAGGGCCAATTTCTAATTTTGCTAAGAAGAAATCCGCTAAGATTGGGCCTAGTAGTGACTCCCATAGCGACACCGTCTGACTGTCTATAGAATTCCTTATTGAAAAGAAAGTGTACATTCATTGGACATCGTAAGAGAAGTTATTTCAAGGTGGATGCGATAATTCCAATTTCTATACTTCTCTTTTCCAGTTCGCTATATATGAAGTTCACTGTTTCCATTAGAGGGACATTTGTGAATAGGGATGATACGTCTAAGGATATCATAGACTTATTATTCACATTTAAATCTCTTGTCTTATCAACAAAGTGAAAAGTATCTTTGATGCTATGCTTTACAACCTCCTTATGCAGTGGTTTCAAGAGTTGCACTAGCCATTTCGATATTGCATGATACGGCGAGTTTGACACAATTGACTATAACTAATATTTTAATAGCTCTGTGATTATTATTATTATTATTATTATTACAGATTAAGCCATCTTCTTCTCCCCCTACTGTCTCTAGTTACCGTCAACAATTTACCACTTTACGTAACAGTTCATTTTCACACTTTAGTTACCATTATGCAAAATATCAATTATGTAAGAACCTATGTATAGTAATGATGGACAGTGGCTAGCAGTGTAATCCAGAATGCGCATTTCGTCCTATTTGGGAGTCGTCAACTGGATGTGGTTGATGTTGTTCCCACCGGGAATGGGAGTCGGTAGCGATCGCTTCAAACGCCAGAGCATTATCTACTACACCACCGAGCCACGATAGCCACTTGTAGCTTATAAGAATCTGTTTAAAACTTCACAAAATCTTTCTACTATCAATAATCTATGCTTTAGTTAACTGTCTTAATTACCTGATCAATTATCACCTTCTTGATACTTTGAGATTGATAACCCTTCATTAAACAACTCTCATAATTAGATTGGTATGTAATTTTACGTTTTGAAAATGCTACATATATATTAGTGTAGAGCCACTGATGAGGAACTCTGCGGCTTGCAATAATATTATTAAAAACCTCAGAAATGCACCAATCAGTTCTGATATATCACTGATTATGAAAGCAAAAGCTATGGTAATAGCCATGAAGTTGGTATCGATCGTAACTAAATCGCAGAGAAAAAGTTCTCATTATTAGTCTTGCAAGTGCCATCCACACCCAGTAGATCAAGACAGTTCACAGTTACTTTTAGCTGATCGGCTGTAGCAAAAAAAAATAATTCCAGATCTCCACCCTCTGTGACAGAGAAGGATGCTGATCCACCTTGACTGATTACATGCGCCTGCAACTTTTCATAACTGCCTACAATAACATAGTTTCAAGGGAAATTTCAATTACCGGTCAAATTATACTTAGCTAAGAGGCGATAGTGAATACTGAACACATCTTGACTATTCAGTCGTTTACCATAGAGTACATAAACGAAATCAACAACATTAAATGCATCCGTCCCGGATATCAGAAATGGCCTTATGCTCTCCAATTCAGCTCCTGTTAACTTACGCGCCCACGAACTATTGTCATAAAGCAGTGAATTGCAGGGATGGTTGTGAGTTAACAGCCACCGAGTAACTGTCCAGAAACCTTCTAAGAACTTCGCGAGCATGAAAGCCGGACAAGAACATTTCAGAGATATTCTATGAAGTAAATATTGAAAACAAACAGAACTGACCTTCTTGTCAGTATACCAACTATTGACCTTATTGCCTTATAGCAGACAAACAACGTAAGCTCTTCGGTCACTTTGCAAATGTGAATCTCGCACAACGTAGTATGTGTGCGTCTGTTTCTCATACTCCTTCAGGGTGACCTTCGAAGACTCTAAGGATGGAAACGCTCCACAAAAATTGATTGGTTTTCGGTCACAACACTTTGGACGATGTCGTCTCTCATCATGAAAAAGAAGTAACCCGTCCTCAGTTTGCTACCTTTTATAGTACTTTTGGGTTTCGTGCAACCAATTACATGGAACATTTTATCGTCTATTTTAATTAGACAACAGGTAGCACAGGGAGTGGGGGAGGGAAGGATAGAAAATAATAGTTTAAAAAAATTATTACCGTGGACCAAATGTATTCCGTTTGTAAAGGTGGATTGCAATCACCTCTGTTATGTGAAGTAATCGAGTGCGTAATCCATGAGGTAAATTAATTGGAATCTGATAGATAATTTTGAAGGCTTTTCCAGTAACCACTTGATGTCCTGTGTCAACTAAATGTGCAAGTATGGAGCTCTTTATAGTTCTAATTTATCCCTTGTTCGACCATGATGGGTATTGCTCATAAATTCGACGATGGAACTGTCTCACTATACCTTCAATGTAACTAGCTCCACAGGAGCAGTTGAATTGATAAATGCACATAGAAGTGGTCGAATCAGGCAGCTTGTCTTTATTTCTTGCACCTAGAATCGGGCGATTGTAGAAGGCGGGACATAATTTAGCGGCTGGGAATGCTTTATGCAAGACTCTTTTTATGCGTTGTGTGATGATCTCACTGGCAATATCACTCTTAAATTCCAGCTTCAAGAAGATTTGCTTCTAAAGAACTGTTGTCATTGTTGTTTTAACCCTCGTAATATTTATGTGCTTAGTTGTAAACTTGTCTGGGTAGCCATTCCTACTAAGCAGATCGCGTATGGTGGCTCACTCTTCGTTTATAGCATCCTCTGAGCAAATAGGTGAGGCAGGGTATTGCTAATCATTTCACTAGGTTCCTTTTGTATTGGAGGGGTACAGCACTAGAAAAGTGAGTATACTGACCTGTTGATGTTGGCTTTCTATGAACACTTCGCTTCAGGGTTCCATCTGACCTTCTTACCAACAGGACATCAAGAAATGGGATACTATCATTTTTCTCCTCTTCCATTGTGAAGTTGATTGCCGGGTGGATACTACTGAACTTATTCAGAACAGCATTCTTATCAGTCTCACTTTTGAGAACTTTAAAGGTATCATCCATGTAACCACAATATAACTGAACGGTCTTCTCTTGAGTGTGATGATTCTCAGTATAGCAAGCAAAGTTATTTGTATTTTTCTCAATTAAAAGGAGTTCTACTAGACAAGTTAATTGCAGTGAATTAGGTACTGATATATTTCTAGAAGAACAGTTTAGTTCTGATACCTCTAGACATCGAGAAGATACGAAGTACAGCGTTGTGTCTTAGATACACAGCTAGAACTCTACACAGTGGGATTACTTTCCATACATTTGGCAAAGGTTCAAAAGGGTGAGTCAGTAACTCATAAAAAGCTGTTAGTCTTTTGAGTTTGGAAAAAAATATTTTTCAATTTTGAAGTCAGTTTCTTGTACTATGAAAAGACCAGTGCAAAACTTAATCAGCAATTAAATCTTCTTGGGTTGAAACGTTAGAACATGTGACATCAGTCAAATCAATGAGGCACTTTTCCGCTAAAAAACCGAAAAGAATATTGATATGTGATATGATATTATTTTTCCCTTGGGTTCCTAGTGGAACATACAGCTTCAGTAGCACCCCTCCATTGCACTCTCTTCTCTGCCGTCTTTTCAACCTAGCCTCACCACTGCCAACAACCTATCATGTATTCCTCACACCATCTCCTCCATGTCATCCTCACCTCTAACGCCCAACTCGTAGTTTCCCATTATCCTTCCACTCCACAACCTGACCTGACCTGGACTGGCCTGGCCTGGTCTGGTCTGGTCTGGTCTGGTGCATGATGTCCCCAATCGGCCTTCTCAGTGCATGCCCAATCCATCACCACTTCCTTCCACTGCATATTTGTTGGGTGATAGGTTCTTGCTTCGTTGGTTCCTCACCAGCCAGTCAGCCAGCCAGCCAGCCAACCAGCCAGCCAGCCAGAGTTCAATACCTGCTTATTCTTATTATTCTGGCCATCTGATCTAAAGTATCCAGTCAGCGTAGGCAGCAGTTGTTCATGGATGTCTGTAGTTTGCCGGAAATGCTTTTCGTGACTCACCATGTTTCTGAACCATATAGGAGCACTGACTTCACTGACATTAGTGTTTAAAATCTGGATCTTGTTCTCCACGCTGAGTTGATTACAGTGTATCTTCACACTGATTATTTCAGACTAATGAAGGAATGCATGTCTTGCTCTCTTTCGCATCCTGGTTTTGATATATTCATGTGTGCGGCCTGTATTTGAAATGCTGCTGCTTAGTTAGGCGTAGGTGAAGGATACAACTTCCCATATGTTTCTTCCGTTAGTGATGATTGGTGTTTGTTGTTGGTTGGTTATCTTCATTACCTCCGTCTTCTCTACATTCACTTAAATTATTAAAATTTTGTACACTTTCATTCTTTTGTTACTTCTGCTTTAAAAATGTCTTTTAATAGAAAGTTGTTTATGAGGGTAATATCAAAGGTTAGCTGATATATTCACATCTTGAAATGATGACTGATGCTACTTGACATCTTTTCATTATTCCAGAGATTCAAAGGATGATATATATATATATATATATATATATATATATATATATATATATATATATATATATATATATATATATATATATATATATATATATATATATATATATAGGTGCATTTGGCAGATAACTTACTCTAAGTTTTTCCGAGATACTTGACGTGACGTAATCGTTGTTTAGAAAATACTCTTTCATACCAACAAACTGATTAATAAATGAAGTTTTTATTTTAGACTCTGGAAGTGTTTAACACCTCTTTTATTCTCTTCAGTCAGCAGCTGCACTGTGCATTAGAGTTGGCTCGTTCTCTGATCCATATGAAGCTCAAGGATTGTCACATCTTTTAGAGTATAGTAAGTTGTAAATCCCTTTTTATATTAATTTCTGTTTTATCCAGCTTAGGCTTTCTTGATATCTGTTTACAGAAATCTTGGATTTATCCTCTTTGCCAACACCTGATCTATATAAACAGAAAATAATCTCTACACACAAAGAGAAAAAGGAGAAACCAATTGTGATAAATTTCTTGTGGAGTAGACTTACCTACGTCAGTTTAAGCGTCATCGTAAGCACTGGCTTACTGGTAAATGAACTGGACTTGCTTCCTATCATAATTCATTATCGAGAATTATCTTAGTGATTATTCATTGGAAAGCGGCCAATTTCTTGTTGTCTAGTCCTGACTGCTTACCGAATTGCTCTGATCATTTTAATAAGTAACTACCAAGCTAGAGAAATGAACGATAGGAGACACTGCTCCATCTAAATTTCACGCCTGTTGACATTCATCAACAAGGCATACCTGCAACTTTGAAGGAAATGATTTTCCTTCTGAGTTTCAAACTCATTTCATACAGTGTTGCAGTCAGTAACTCCACCACTGAATTATTCAGACTGTAAATTACAATATCTTACTTTGCTTTACACTTCACAGATGTTCTGAATATAATCATATTTTCGTGGTAAGGACAAAACACAAGTCTGTTTGAAATAGTGGAGAATATTTGTAGCTCAGTTGGATGGTCTTGATTGTATTGTGTTCTTGACATTCAATTCATTCACTGTAGATCGTATATTGCATCGACACCATACAAACTTTAAAACTGTTTTATGGGCAAAATAAATTCTATTTTTCTCAAGTTTTACTATTCTTACCGTTATTCCGTAAACTGCATTCAGGTTTATATAAGATAGTATGTTATTCATAGTAGACTGTCATCAATTGGAGTAACAATGGAAACCTGTGGGCACTGGACAGCTGTTTCGTCCCATCATGGCCTCCTCAGCAGTGCGCACCCACGACCGCATCAGGGATCGAACCTGCGACCTTCAGGTTCCATGGCCACCATATTACCATTTAGCCACTGGGTCAGTATCCAGTGGTCTATATTTCCAACTTCTGTTAGCTCACAATATAGCGCATCCGCCACCCAACGTCATCGTTGAGTAACTGTCCTCACGATCATCAAGCTTTGCCCCCCCCCGGTCATGACTTATCAATGGAACTTCGGAAATACCTCTTGAAGCTAGTTACCAATGAGTACCAGTTCAACTGAATTTTAAGGGAGTTGTGGGGATTTGGAAATATTTGTTTTGATTATATTCATCAACAAATTAGTGCATAATTCATCGAATAGGAATGAAATGGTATTATCTTTATATTATACTTACTGAGCGTTACATTAATTTATACCTGAACACGTGTCAAGGGATGAGTAGAAATGTTTTAAATAGACGCATCAATCGAAATATGCAACAATAAGTATGCAGAAGGAAGTGGAGATGGATTGGGCATGCACTGAGAAGACCATTCGGGGATATCATACGCCAGGCTCTCGAGCGGAACCCAAATGGGAAGCTACAAGTTGGGCTTCAGAGGTGAGAGTGACATGGAGGAGATCATGCAAGGAAGAAATGAGAACTTCTAGGTTGTCATGAAACCAGGTTCAAACGTTTGCAAAGAACAGAGTGCAATGGAGATGTGCTACTGAAGCCCTATATTCCATTAGGAACCCAAGGGACAAATAATAATAATAATCAATCCAAATACGAAAGACCTACATTTCATATTATCACTTATATTTTGACAAAAGTTTCGTAGATAATTAGACATTAAAAATTGTGTACTACACAACATATAACATTATAGACAGGTGAAAGTTAAATGAAATTAGAGAACAGAAAACGAGGTTATTATGATTATCATTTGGATTATCTGAGATAGCCATAGTTTAGTATACTAGTATTTATACTAAGCCAGGATAAAAATTTTTGACCTCATAGTTCAGTTGATAGATTATGAGCCCATATGCTAACAGAAATCGACTACTTCAAACCAGAATAACAAAAGGGAACTACAAGTATTCATAACTAATAAGTATTGAGTAAGAGGTGGCTTCAAACACAATGCTTTGGTATTTCATGTTATGGTTGGCGTCAACACTAATCATCAGAAGGCAGGTACACCAAGCTGACATGTTCTAAATAAGTAGAGACTCTGGTTCCGTATCTTACTACCAATCAAACCAACATAGTCAAATGAATGAAATTAGGCTATCAAAAAATAATCCATGTTATCATGATGAGTAACCTTCATTGTGCTGTAACTCCTTTGTTTATGCACTAACTTTGATTGTACAGTATGACCCTTAGATTCTTTTAAAGTTTCCTGAGAAAACAAATGTTGATTTCAAATGCTGAAAATATGTTCAAGACAAATAACCGTCATGTTATTGAAATGAAAAGCTAATTTTCTATAATTCCTAAAGGTCTAAAATTTAATATCCAGCAGTGAAATGGTAAGGAAGAGTGTAGTATGCAACCTTGAAAATCGATTAGGTCCGCGTAATCACTAATTTTTCAAGGCATATCCTTGTATTCAAGAAAATGATATATCTATCATTTAGCGTTACACGGAAAGAAAATAATGTTGTCCTAGTTAAGTCTGAAAGTGATCTTTACACTCCCACGAACTCTCACACTACGTTTTCCACTTCGATATCACTCTTATTCTATCCACCTGTTCTTTGTGTACTACAGTTCATTATGACAACTTGAACCTATATGCGTGTGTAGATTTCGTCAGTCAGTCAGTTAGTCACATCTTTGTAGTATGTGCATAGGCGTTATTTTGTGCGTAACTGACATCAGAAAATTATATTCTAATTGCATACTGTAAATCATTCACACTAACTATCCAGCCCACTTAAGGGTAAATAACAATCCAGAATGACTTTATAGACCACCCTAAAAACAACTGAAGTGACCAATTAGACTTCTACATTTTATGCAAATCTACCTTTTCAGACGAAAAAAAGAAACTTGATTGGTTATTTCGATCGTTGTTAGGGGGATCTTTAAAATTGCCCGATAATCCATTCACACCTCTATTGAACTGGGCTACTTTAAAGGACACCCTAGCAACTGTTAGGACAGCTAATCAGGTTCTGGTATTTCGGCTAGGAAGTTAGATTTCCATAAAATAGAGAGGTGTTATTGGTTGTCTCAGCAGTCTCTAAGGTGGCCTTTAAAGTGGCCTCTGAGTAACAGTGACAGTATGTAACCATGACACATTTTCAAAAGTTATCATGTTGTTTTACCCATGATCAATAAAAAGGATAACACATCCATTGAAAATAAGCCTTGGAGAATAAATTCAACGACACGCAGTTATAAGTCATCGAACTTGACAATTCAGATATATTAACTGAAAGTGTTTTTATTTCGATACATCATTTCAAGATAATTAAAATACTAACTCTCTGACCTAAAGAAACATATCAGTGAACTACAGAAGTAGATAGAAATCACTCACCACTCAGAACAAAGTGATCTAATCACCGGGTGGTCGTTTCATCCATTTGCGATCAAGTTCATTAGTAGTGGATCCGAAAACCCACCTCATAGAGCTGATGTTCTTGATCAACTGAATCCAGTTAACTAATTTAGATGAACTGGTTTACCTTGAAGATGATGATAATCTTGATCTGGCTGACAAAATCTCCCTATCAGCCAGTGTGATTTCTTAATAATCAACATATACAGTAGTATATTTCGCTACATCATAACAATTCTGTGTCAGAGATCACACTATATGATTTTCGTTGGTTGATTCTAGTGGAAACTCTGTTGATAACTCGGCTATGTAGGTGGGAAACCTACTTAGGTGCAAAAAAATATCAACATGGACTGTGAAACTTGTAAATGATTTCCAAATTAATGATTCTATTTTAGTTTGGAGGTTTCTGGGAATTGATTTATTGATTTCAGGTTGATATTTACCATGGGATAACATCAACTGGAGAAACATTGGAAGCCTGACAGCACAGAACAGCTGTCTCATCTTAGTATAGGACTCATCACCAGTATGTAACCATTATCCTACCAGGGGCTGAACCCGCAGCCAGTAGGTTATCATTGAGCTAATAGTTCACATTTCCTACTTCTGTCAGTTGATTATATTGTACGACCTCCATCAAATATTGTTGTTGAGTATCTGTCATGATATTTGACTTAGTTGGTCCCTCTTTCACAACTTCTCATTAGAACTTCAAGGAATCACTTCATGAAGTGAGTCACCAATGATCATTAGAGTTATTCAACTTGGACGGAGATGGAAATCTTGGTATATTGTGAACTAAAAGAAGTAGGAAATATTGATCAGTGGATTCTGAACAAGGGGATAAATGGTAGTGTTCTATCCGCTTGACCTCAAGGTCCTTAGTTTGATCACTGGTTGAGTAGTGAGTGTAGATTGCTGAGAAGTTCCGTACTACATGATGTTGAATACATTTAGTCATCTTTTAGAAAGTGGTGAAAACTGAATAATAAACAATTTGGTTGTTAAATAGATGAATTTATACTTTTCTGAACAATAATCATCACAGTAATTTTAGTCAATCAACCATCATATTTAATTGCTTTTTGAAAAGAGCATTTACAGTATCCTAAATATCGCCGTTAGATTTGTTATTTTGTTATTCAGCAACTCAGAAGTTAAGTCTTGCCTGACTAATAACTGATACCTTGATGTTGAAAGCAACCAGGTTGTTACACTTACTGTCATTACGCTAGGTTTTAGGAATTCTACTCAGTAATCACTTTCGCATAAAGATCTTTCCACTACTGTAGCTCATTCATCTAGACAATCATCCATTATATATATTTCTATCTCAAAGCACTTGATTATGAATCAAACTCTTTTGTTTTAAGATAGAACAAATTAACGGAACCACTACATGACTCTTCACAACAATCACTATGAAAAGCACTGAAACATATTCTTCATGGTATTTACAACTTGATTAATGCTGTTAGTTTAATAATTGGATAACATTTATCAACCTCATTCAAC